AAACCAGGAAAAGAAAGGAACTATCAACATCATAAAATATAAAAGAGAAGTCAAAAGACTGAGAAGTGACTGTAGGGATTGCTTATTAGATCATTGGTAATTTTAGCAAGAGAAAGTGGAGCAATGGGGCTGGAGGTACATACACATACGGGTAAGGCGAAGTGGCAGTGGGAGGTTGAGGAAACACATTTGACAGCATAAACTTTTGTGGTGAAACAAGAAGCAATTATCCCCAATTAAGAGGGGTAGATCTAGGAGGGAGTCCCTGGGTTGTGCTAGTGGTTAATGTATTCAGCTGCTAATGAGAGGCTGAAGGTTCAAGTTCACCCAGAGGCATTTTGGAAGAAAGGCCTGGCAATGTACTTTCAAAAAATCAGCCATTGAAAACCCCATGGAGCACAATTCTCTGACACACATGGAGTTGCCATTAGTCGGAATCAACAGCAAATGGAAAAAAAAATGTCTAGGAGGAGCTTTAGAATAATGGAATAACTATTATGGATTTGCAGATGAGGCCATTGCTGAGACGGTAGACCATAAATTTCTAAAGGTACTCCTATCATGGTTTTATCTTTTTTCTCTAGTCTAACTCAATATATTGACGCAGTAAAAGGACAGAAAAGATGGGTAGGAAGAGCCCTGGTCCTAGTTCAGAGATTTGCGAGGCAGGTATAGTAGTGGTCAAAGGAATTACTGGCGCTGGTGAGAATAGTGGAGATGGTGCACCCTGGGGTCTGGAATGGCTAGGGGAGGAAGTATGAAGTCTGGTGGGAGTATGTCAGAAAGAGTAGGCATGGGCAAGGCATTAGTAATTTAAGTAAATAAAAGAAATAAGGAAGCAAGGGTAGGAGAAGATTCTGAGAATGGGATATGGGAGTTTGGAATCACAAGAGTTTTGAGTTGTGAAACGACCTGATGCATAACCCTGGGAACAAATGACTAAAACTGAGTAGCCGTGAAAGCTGTAAGCAGCTGCAGCAAGGGTGTGGGGTAGTTGTTCCTTGGGAACACTGAAGTCATCCAGGATGATGGTGGGAAATGTGGAAGAGAGGAAACGGAACCTGGTGCCAAACTGGAAAACTCAGGGCATTGACTGCATCATGGCCACAAGAAATGCTAAAAGTTACAATAGCTGGCAGCTATAAAATTTGGTAAGTTTTGTATGAGATGGAAAGAAGTGATGGCGTAGAAGTGGGGAACCGTTAGAACATAACCCGTTGCCGTCAAATCAATTCCCACTCAGCGACCCTAAAGGACAGGGTGGAACTGTCCTATAGGGTTTCCAAGGCTGTAAATCTTTAAGGAAGTAGACTGCACATTTGTCTCCCATGGAGCAGCTCATTGGTTCAAACTGCCAACGTTTCAGTTAGCAGTCGAGTGCTTTAACTGCTGAGCCACCAGGGCTCCTTAGGAGAACATAGACCCTGAACTTTTCCAACCGTTTGTGTCCGTGTGTTTGTGTAAGAATGTCGTCTCTTGTGCAAGGAAAGAAGTCCTCAGGGAAGTGTCAAGTTTTATTTAGGTCTGGGAAGTAGAGGCAACATCAGTGAAGAGATTGGGCTGTAGGAGAGTTGGGAACTGTGTGTGTGTGGGTGGTGGTGTTGGGGGACGGGGTGGTCCAGGATCGGGAAACAGGACTGTGGAGATCTGGGAGTGCACCAGAGAAAACAGCATTTAGGGCAGCAGTGAAGGATGGTAGGAGAGGAGCAGGCCCTGAGTGGTGTTCGGTTCTAAATAGAATCTTATTGCCAAAATAGTAGTATTTTTATCCCCTTGGCAATGATGTTTTTTACTGCAACTATCACTAGGTTGTGAGCCTAGGTTGTATTTGTTTTTCTAAGGGCCAGTTATTTCGACCTAATGAGTGTCCCTTCCCCTCTGCCCGTTTTTGTGATAAGTGCCAGGATAACAAACTTTTGCTGCTTTTGTTTTTTTCCAGTGCATTAACATAATCACTCAAATAAAGAATGGTCCCCCTTGACTGAGTCAAGTAATAGGAAAGTTGAGTTCACATCTCTGCAAGCAGACCTACTTGTCTGCTTAAGCGAAGGAGTTTTAGGAGCACTATGCTTTTTCTCCTCATTTTTTCATTACAGTATCCATCAGTTTATACTTGGTATTTTGTGCTACATAACGGTGGTTGCACAAGTGTAAGAGGGTGAAGTTGAAAGCATTTGACAGTTGTTAAGATGTAAAATAACGATAACAAAAACTACTGAAGCAAATCAGCAGACTTTTGTTGTGAAACCAAACCTTGAAGTAACAACAACAACAAAAAAAACATTAAACATTTTAGTGATGGCTAACAGCAGACTGACTACCCTGTTATAACCCTTACTGCAAAAGCTTTCAAAAATAAAGATGAGCCAGCAGATTGTTCATCCATCCATCCCTCCATGTTTATGACCACTTTCTATGTGCAATGCGAACAGCAGTGAGGAGGGAAAGAGTTGCATGGGGAGGGATATTATTCTGATGGAAAACCAAAGTACAATGGCCTCGGAGTCCAGGAAGGTGAGATTCTGCGTCCCCTTCTGAGGCTTGTGGGCTCCATGAGCTTGCTTCATATTTCCCCAGCTGCTGTGCAGTAAGAGGGTGGACTAGATGATCTCCAGAGTCCTTTCAGCTCTATCATCTAATGATTCACCCACAATTCAATCTAAAACCAAGAGTAAAACCACAACCCAACACTGACTCCCACCCCACCATACAGTCCAACCCTTACCGAAAATCCAGCCCCAGGGACCACAAAACTAAAGCCCAATTCTAATCACATTGTTTAGAAAGGGCTAGAAAGAACAAACTGGAACAATGAGCTTGATGTATATAACCACTTTTCTGGGTGCTGATTTTGATGACCCCATGCCCTCCTCTACCTCATAGTTTCATCGTAAGCATTATGTTTTGTATCATTTATTAGAGTAAGTTTTTAAAGCATAACAGTCTGTTTTAATTACATTTATTTGTCTCTATGGATATGTTTAATATTTTTACTTTAATCAATAGAAAAACATTTCGTTTTGATTATATCTTTGGAAACATTTGTGGAGCTCAACAAACAGCTGAAATCCTGTGGCTTTCTAATAGACTCCTTTGAAAAAGTGCTTTCCCTTGCAGAATTATAAGCCAGGAGGTACTATGGCATTAAATTATTGCAAAGCATTTTGATTCATCCAGTAAAACACATGGCTATGTACTTCATGGGCTTCTTACATTTAGCTACATCCTCCTTTACCCTCATAGAGAAGTAATCTCTGCATTACTCATGAACCTCAAGGTTACTAAATAAACTACTGTGTGCTGGTCTCCAATCTTAATCTGTCTGGAATGATACTGATCTCAGGCAATCACCCTTCTACCATCCCCTCCCCCTGCTTGGAAAGAAGCTTGCTCCCTCTTCTGGCCCTTAGTTTGCTAGAAAAAGGGTTAGGCATAGTACAGGAGGGCACATTCTTTGTCATTGCGCATTTGCGCATTTTGAGCTGTCCTTCCTGCTGGAAGTGCTTCAAATCATACTCCTGGCAACACTTGGAGGCTGATGGTGACACAGTAGTTAAGTGATATGGCTGCTAACCTAAAGGTTGGCAGTTCAAATCCACCAGCTGCTCCTTGGAAGCCCTATGGGGCCGTTCTACTCTGTCCTCTAGGGTCACTGTAGGTGGGAATCAACCTGACAGCAACAGGTTTGGTTTGGTTTTTTGGCAACACTTAACCTCAAGATTTTATGTTGTCATCAAATGGGATAGGCCACTGTAGAATGTGGGCCTGATCAATCCTGGTGGGTCTTGGACTTACCGGAAGCGTCTCCCTCTCCAATCCCTGACAGATAAATCTTACATTCTCCAACATCCCTTCAGGTAGGAACCCAAGGCCTATGTAGACAAACGACTGTCCCACACAGTTTTGTCAAATGTGATTATCGTGTGCTGAACACTGGACATGAAAGTAACAGGTTAATTTGGACCTGGAACTTCATCATCAACAGAGTTAACCCACCTTGTCATGACAGAAGTCTAAACCCCCTCTCAGGGAGTGTGGAACACTGATCTTACCTGGCTCATTTGCAGAAATCCCACAAAACTTCACAACAAAAGCAGTTAGGACCGTGCAAAACATCAGAACTATTTCACTTAGTTGCCACTCTCTTTTTATATCATCAAAGCAAAGTTCTCAATGCCTGAACGTCTCCCTGGTGGTACCTTCCGTTGGATTTGGAGTTGTGTTTAACTTGGTTATTTACAGTCAGTAGGCCACCTGAGCACTATTAACAGTCCTTTAAAAAAGATGCTAGTTGCTACATTTCCCCCCCCTTCCTCCTTCATTTGGTTCTGAATGGTTCTAAATCTTGTTCCTGGTTGTTTATGGGCTGTTTTGTTACTGTCCCCTTACCCCCCCCCTCATCCCCATTTTCATTAAATTTTTCAAGGACTTAGGAGCTGTACTTAGTGCAATATTACTAATCTCTTGATAATAATTACTTGAGAATGATGATTACATTTTTAATGTCCTCAGAATCCAGAATTTTGACTTGGACAATATTTTGAATTTTAGGGTTCTGATTAGGCTAACAGTGTCTTAGTGGGGTACTTGGTCAGGTCTCTTCATATTCCAAGTGAAGCAGAGAATAAAAACCAGATTCCCCATATCCACTGGTTTTAACTGGTCAAAAAAAAGTTGGCCTGGGAGGTCCATTTTACAAATAAATATAGGTAATTGTCTTCTTAAGCAACTATTAATGATGCAAGAAAACATTGGTACACGCATGCATTTCACTTCAAATTCAACCTTTAAAGTCAGCCACTGAGAACTGATGGCTGATTTGAATGAGTCCTTTGAAAGTTTGACTCTGCTGTCCTTTCAAGGGCACCAGGTAGGTCTTTATAAAAACAGCAGCACCTGTTCTGCCCCTTCCTTGGGTGGAAGAGGCAGTCTGATTCTTCCCCATCCCGTCATCCTTAGGGTGTCCCAAGTGGGTGAATAAACAAGTAATATCAGGGCATTTTAGGGAAAAACTTGGGGGAAAAAGTAAAATGGGTTTTCTTTACCATGGAATGGAATTTCATGAGCACAAGGCTAGCCCCAGCCCACAGGGAGTTTATGAATATATTTGTGACAGTTGGCAGGCTGGGAGGTAGTCAAAGGAGAGGCCCATGCTTTAGCAGCAGAACTCTGACTGCAGGTGAGTCAGCTTCCAAGGCCTAGTGGAATTGACTGGCTAGGAAGGCTCAGAGGAGGGGCTATCTCCAGACACTTGTCAGGGTGTCTCATGATGACATCCACACACCCACACTCCTGAAGATGCAAATGAAAGGTGTCAGAGCCTAAAGGAACATGGCAGCCATTTTATAAATCTACATAGGTGCCTCAGCCCTTAGAATTGTTAACATGTAAATGGTAGCTTCTCAGTCTATACCAAAACAAAATATATTCTAGAAGTGTTACAGACAAGACTGTAAAATAATCATAAAACAGCTTAAATAGTTCATTACTCGGCTCAGAGTTCTGATGGTGAAGCAAAGTGTGGTCCCCTCCCTCTCACATTCTAACTGGAACATGGTCCTTATCAAAGCACAGACACCACAAGTACACCAAGATTGACATAAAGCCTGTCTGCCACATTTTATGATAAGGCAGGAATGTGCTTTTCAATCTCTTGAACATGACCTTCCTCATCTCTCACTACTATATTTCTTCCCCTTGCTTGACTAGGCGCAAAAAATGCTATGACCAAGGCTATCGTATCCTACTGGTTGACATCTCATTGGTTGTGATCCCATGTCCTGCTCACCCAAGGAGAGTGCAAAAACACTGGCCAAAGGCCTAACAACTGCTCCCCTTGCTCACCTATCTTAGTGCTCTCTGAAGACAGAACTCATCAGCTGACCTGACACTCCCTAGCACCCCTGCCACAGACACTGGTTTAAAAGATAAAAACCAAACCCATTGCTGTCAAGTCGATTCTGGCTCGTATGTTTGTAAGGCTCTTCAGGGAAGAAGAGAGGAATATCCATCTGTGGCAGGGGATCTGCTCCCAGTTTCTCGTTGGAGGAGGTAACTTCAGATCGGTTCCCACCCTGCCCTGCATCAGCCTTGGCTGAGGGGTCTGCCCAGAGGGATTGCTAGCCCTTAGAGAAATTTCTGCAGTGACTGAGCTTCTGGACCGAGTTTGGCCAAGCTTGAAGCTAAAAAGAGGTGCACAGGGCTAAAAATAGGTCCTGTTTTCTTTTGTTTCTCAAACAAGATGGTTGTCTTAGAAGGTTTGAAAGAATTGATACATTGATGGGTTTTGCCTTGAGAAGGGCTCTTGTGAAGCCCTTTTGGGGGAGCACCAAAACTGCCAGCAGGTTATATTAGTTCTCCTTCCTTTCTCCAGCTGAAAAAGAAAGGACCGTCGGAAGTTTTAAATAACTAAAAGGAAACCAGATTGGTTTATTGTTTCTGCTTGCAAATGGAGACAGTATGAGTGCCTGGGAATGGCTGGTGGATGAGGGGAGAGTGGTACCTCAAATCTGCTCTTGAGCAGTGGAGGGAGAGGGAAAAAGGAAGGGACCCACTGGCTAAAATGAAATACGTTTTCAAGAAGGGTAGCTCTCATGGAGTGGTAATGGGGGGGCCACTGGCCTAGAGCTCTTCCATCCCCTCCTAGGACCCCCGATCATCCTCTCCTGTATTCCGGGTCCAAGCCTAGTGTACAAGACGAGTGAAGCTGAGCTAGAGGTGTTTTCTGTTAAGGCTGCACCAGTTAAAACATTAAGTTTGGAGCACAGTTCTGCTTATGTTTGAGGCTTTTTTCTGTGATGACATCCTGCTCTTGGATTCTGGTGTGGGAAAGGAAGCAGATAACTTCACTTTGCTATTGCACACCTAAATGAAAATTCAGCATGTTTCACTGAGGTAACCTTCATCTCAGTCCCCATCCTCCCAGCTACTGGTTTTACAAATCAGAGGTCAGTACAGTGGCAGCTGGAATTCCAGATTAATAAAAGTCATTGTCTTCTTGGATTGTGCCAGTCTCAGAGTTTGCTCTTGAGTATAAATTCTGAGCTTCTATGTAGGTATGTGGAGACATCTTGAACAGGTATGCAGAGATTCCAGGGAAGGAGCATGGGTTGAATTCACCCACTTGGGTATCTAAGTGCATGTTAGTCTGCATTTCCAAATCTGCTTCTATTCTGGATAGTACACTTCTACAAAGCTTGTTAGAAAACTGGTCTGAAAGAACATATGCCTTAAAGAGCATCAGAAAGCATGAAGTAAAGAGGAGACCTTTAAATCTCCATAGCAACATTTTCCAACACAGGCAAAAGAATTTCTCTTTCTTTCAAAGGACATTATCACAGCCAGCTCTCAACAGTAATAGATAATGGTAATGGGGAGTAATCCATTCACAAACAAGCCCCAAATTTCACTGGGGCAAGCATGTCAGCCTCTTCCCTTGTGTGACCCTTTCCTACTTGCTCTTATGGACTTTTCTAAATTTCATCTCTTGGTCCTTCCCTTGACCACTTTTCTGGAAAATGGACTATAATTAATAAATGGTCAAAAGACTGAAAAAAGAATCAGAGGCCAAAATAATCCCAAACTTGGATAGCCTCTGCCTGGAATAATAGCAAGTTGGCCCTGTAGTAACTTCCAGATGAATCATGACATTCTTCCGACACCAGCAGGTGAACTGATGTCATTCTATCTGCCTCCCATTTCTTCCATCCAGAATCACTGATCTCCGCTGGGGCTGGTAAAAACAGCTGGTTGAAGTCTCTAGTCTCTGGCCATTCTTAGGGATGGTCATTTTATTCCTAAGTGTAACCCCTTCTGGTGTGACCCATGTGTTTTCTGCCAGCTCCCCACAAAGAAGGCCAGGGGAAACTGTCTGGATAGGACTTCTGATAGGGGACAGCATGACCCTGGAATCTATCCCTGCGGATGACGGGGGCGGGTGGTCCATAATAGGGAAGGGAGGACTGAATAAGATTAGGCTCTGAGGTCTTCCTGGCCTTGACCTGTGGAAAGGCTTAGAGCCCCCAGATGGTCGCTCTATTTTTGACGAGAGAAGGTTGTCCCCAGATGGCTCTGTCTCTGATGATCGCTTTCTGCATTGCACTACTGCGTCCTGGGTGAAGAAGAGGTTAGACGAGCCCGGTTCTGGAGAAAGGGTGGGTCCCTCACTCACACAGGATGCCGCAGCATTCATCGGTGAAGACTCAGTGACTCCTGTATCTTGCTTTGGTTTTTCTCCCTTTGGGCTTTCCGAGGAGCGGGGAGAATCATCTCTGGCAGGTTGCTGAGCAGGCCCACCAGTTAAGCTGGGCTCCTCTGGGCTCTTCTCCAGAGGCTGAGCCCCACCCTCCCCGGAGCTCTGGGAGGGCAGGGGCTGTGGGATCTGTGTGTACTGAATCTTGGGTGGGATGACCGGGACTGCCCTGGCCTGGCACATTTTGACCATGAAGGAGGTTCTCACAGCTGACACACTCACAGGAGCCGAGTTGCGGCGGCCTGTTAGGGCATGAGCAACAATGTCCAGGTCCTGGGGGTCTTGGGAGTGGACCCTCCAGCACTCTGCATTACAGTGGGATGAGGTCATCCATGTTACCGTTGAGTCTCCCGGCTCAGAGAACTGCATTCCAGGTGAACCAAATGAGGCCACATTCTCAAACCGGACGAGATCAGCAAAGGGAGTAGCAGAGTCCAAGTTGAGGGAAGAAGGCCTATTTTTCCCTTTTGGGGGCCCACACTCAGTGCTCTTCAGCTGTAACTTGGGGGGATGCTCTCCAGGCGAGGTGCTGTCCTGCACGCTGGGTGAACTCTCCTTGCTGCTCTCTGGCCCAGAAACACTGCCTTGCTCAATCTGCAGGTTGTCGTGCCCCAGGTGTGCTGCCAGCTCCTTTCCTTCTGTGGGACTGACAGGGCCAGTTTCTGCTGCTTTCGGCTGCACATCGCCTGGTCCCTTCTGGCTGGCAAGGGCCTCAGCCTCCTTCAGGCCAGAAAACTCTCTGAAGGACCTCGGGTCGTTCTCCTCCCATCCAGTCACCCCTCTCCTGGAGGCCAGTGGCTGCAGGGGGTCAGAATTCCTCTCTGTTTCAAGATTAGCACAGCTGCTGGAGGAGGGAGCCTTAAGAGTCCACTGGCCCCTTTCCATGGTTTTGCTATCTAGAGAATGGCTCTGGCGAAGGCTGGACCTGTGGGACAGCCTCTTCTCCAATCGGTGGCCCTGGGGGCCCTGCACCTGGGCATCTTGCACATCCTTCAGGGTGGGGGAGTGCAGGGGACTTGTCACCCACTGGGGCTCCTCCCAGGGCTCTACCATCTCCAGGCCATGCTGGGCACCGTCCGTCACAGCGTCATCTTCATCACAGTCTGAGGGCTCCTGTACAAAATGGGCTACATCCCCCTCTCCTTGTAGGGCGATCTCCACCTCCCTTGAGCTCGGACAACCAGGGTCTTTTACCTGGAAAGCAGCATTCTTTGGATTTTGCTTTTCAGTCTGTCCTGGGGCGGCCTCATCTCCTTGACAAAGAATGAGGGTGGTAGGGCTGCCTTTGGACTTCAGCTGGTCGAAATAGGGATTTGTCCTCAAATTTCCGGTTGGGTCTTCTCTCTCAGGGCTGCCCTTGGGCAGCGGGACTCGAGGCACCTCCTCTAGAGGAGCTGGAGGGGGAGGAGCTGGCAGGAGGGGAGGAGATGGCTTTCCCGAGCCTCCCACCTCTACCCTTGCTGGTGGAGAAGCCGTCTCAAATGGAACGATTTCCAGAGGAGCCGGGCTGGTGGGGTCTGGGCACGGGCCGCTCTCAGGCTCGCCCCTATGGAGGCTGCTGCTGGGCTCTGGCTTCTCTCTACTGGCTGCAGGCGAAGCCGCCTGTGTGCTCTGATGGCTTGGGTCCCGGTTCCGCTCCTCCAGAGGGGCTGGGGCTGGCTCTGGGGAAGCCAAAGGGCCTGGACTCGACTCAGGGGCTGGCTGAGTCAGGCTGATCTCTGGAGGTGGTGGTGGCAGCGAGGAGAGCTCCTCCTCAGACTCAATGATTTTCAGCTCTTGTTGAATCTCCGGCCAGATCAGGGCACTGGCCAGATCATCTTCATCCTGAAAAACATCAAGAAACGGATTATCTTTGAACCAACGGCTCTCGTCACTGACATCCATAGTTTTCCCAGTGAGACTGAAGGGACGGGAGCTGTGCCATGCTGTGCTCCCTTAGCAAGTAAAACAAGTTAGTAATAACTGCACACATTTATTGAGTGCTAACCAAAAAAAGTAAAATAAAATCAGTTGCCGTGGAGTTGATTCTGACTCATGGCAACTCCATGTGTGTCAGAGTAGAACTGTGCTTCATAGGGTTTTCAATGGCTGCTTTTTCAGAAGTAGAAGTAGCCAGGCCCTTCTTCCAAGGCACCTCTGGCTGGAGTCGAACCTCCAGCCTTTTGGTTAGCAGCCAAGCGCTAAACCATCTGCACCACCCAGGGACTCTGAGTGCTTACTATGGGCCATAAAATACTTCCAATGTATTTTCTTGTTTAATTTTCGTAGCAACCCCAGAAATAAATACTATTGTAATTAACTCCCATTTTATAGATGAGGAGACCTATGTTCAAATAGATTTAAGCAATTTACATAAATCACATAGGAGCAGACCAGGATTGAAGCCCACAGCTCCGTCTACACCAGAGTATAAGCCCTTAATACCTGTCCACTGTTACTCCATAAAACAAGCAAAAACTCTCGTCTTCGTCAGGTTTACCTGAAGCCACACAAGCATGAGATTCTCCTAGTGGAATGAAAACGTTAACTCTTGTCCTAAGATTTGCTTTCCAAATAAATAAATACAGTTTTTTTTTTCTTATTAGCAAAGTATATATTCCATGTGGAAAAAATTTAAATACATACAAAAGAAAAAAAAAAACCCTGTTGCCGTCAAGTCGATTCTAACTCACAGCGACCCTATAGGACAGAGTAGAAATACCCCATAGGGTTTCCAAGGAGCACCTGGTGGATTTGAACCACGAACCTTTTGGTCAGCAGCCGCAGCGCTTAACCGCTATGTCACCGGGGTTTCCACAAAAGAAAAAGAGACTACAAAAACAGCAGAATCTTTTATATTCTTAGTACCCACAGATAACCGCTGTTAACATGACGGGGTTTGCTTTTCTGCGGTCTTCCTCCTCCATCTTGTCTGCTGTCTTTGTGTCCCCACCTCTAGTCAGGAACCCAGCTTCTCTTCTGCCTCCTGGATGCCTCCCATTTCCTACACAAAGCCCAAAGCGACGGACAGGAGACGATGGATGGAGCCTGGTCTGGGCCAGGGACACGAGTTTCAGCTTCTGTGATTTCTTGTCTCAAGGCCTAATCCTCCAAGGAGAAGCAGTCAGGGAAGCATTTCCAACCTGTGGGGGTGCAGGTCTGCCTGAGAAGTCTGCCCTGTGCTAACTTTTCACCACCTCTCCCCGGAACTGATTGCACACTGCTTCATATTACAGCTTTCTGTGCTGCCCTTATCTTTCCCAATGGACTGTGAGCTCCCTGAGGTCAGGAATTGTGTTTTATTCATTTTGGCTTCTTCAGGGTCAAATGGTGCCTGGGGTACTCTCAGTAGATGCTCAACAAAGGGTCTGTTGCGTTGAAATGGATTGACTGTTTTCTTTTGAATTATCTCCTTTGTATAAATATCCAGGAGTAGGATTACTGGGTCCAAAGGCAGGGCTATGTTTGAGATCCGATTCTACCATATTCTATTTATTTGTGCACATTTCTACTTTGCCTACTAGCCTGTGTCTGCCTTCAGGGCAGGGATAGTCTATCGCCATCTGTTTACTGGCCTCAGCACCTACATTTATTGCTCTCTTACTAAGAAGTCAATACCAAGAAATCAATACACTTAGATAACTAAATGAACAGCTAAATGCCCCTCCACTCCATTCTCTGCTATCTTAAGTGCCTGTTTTTGCTCAGGCCAGAACCCTATGGGGTGTCCTTGACGCTCCCTTCCTCCTCACTCCTTATCTAATCCTTCACCAAATCCTATGTTTCTACCTTCTAAATAGCCCTTAAACCCTTCCATTTCTATCCCCACTGCTCTCATCCTAGTCTACACCACTGTTTTTTGTTTCATTTTGTTTTTACCACATACTAGCCAACTGACATCCCTGCCCCCTCTCTTGCCCTTCTCCAAGCCATTCTCCTCCCAGGATCGAGTGACCCTTTAAAGACAAAATTCTGAACACATTAGATGCTTTCCCTGTTGTCCTTAGGTTAAGCCTCAAATTCCTTCCATCAGCCCTGCCAAACGTGGCTCTTGCTTCCCTTGGAGCCTCACTTTTTCCAGCCCAGCTGTCCTGGCCTTATTCCTTTTCCTTGAATGGTTCATGCTCCTTCCCACCTCAGATTCATGGCACATCTTATTTCTCTGCCTGAAAGGCTCCTCCTACCAGCTCCACTCCCTACCCTTTTCTCCTGGCTAACTTCTCAACTTAAACATCTGTTCTTCAGAGACGACTTCCTTGACCCTTGTGGTACCCATCCTCCCTCTGACTAGGTTAGGTTATCCTCTTCTATGCTCTCACAGCACTCCATACTTCCATAAACCAAAACAAACAAACAAACAAACAAAACAAAACCATTTGCCGTAGAGTCAGTTCTGACTCATGGTGACCCAATGTGTGTCAGAGTAGAACTGTGCTCCATAGGGTTTTCAAGGCTGTGACCTCTCAGAAGCAGATCACTGGGCCTTTCTTCCGAGGTGCCTCTGGGTGTGTTCAAACTGCCAACCTTTCAGTTAGTAGTTGAGTACTTAACCATTTGTGCCACCCAGGAACTCTTCTATACTACCATATCGCCCTAGAAATTACTTGTTTAATGGCCCTTTCCCCTACTAGACTGTCAGCTCTAAGAAGGCAGGGACTGTGACAGTCTTGTTCACTGGAGTGATCCCAGTGCTCAGCATAGTGCCTGGCGCAAAGTAGGTGCTTAATACATGTGTTTAAATGAATGAATTGCATATCTTTATGTGTTCCCATGAATCCACCCTTTATCTGCTTCTCAAAGCAATGCCATTAGCCTGTTGGGTATTCCCATAATTCAATGCCCATAAAAATGTCTATATCTGTGATGGTTAAGGTTGTGTGTTAACTTGGCTGGGCCATGATTCTCAGTGGTTCGGCAGTTATGATGTAGTTTGGCAGTCATGTAATGTTGTAATCAACTCCATGATGAGATCTGCTTGTGAGGAGTCAATCAATTGAAAGGGAGTTTCCTTGGGGGTGTGGCCTGCCTCCAGTATATGTATGGATGTTCCAGCAAGGCTTTTGCTCTGGATCCTGCATCCAGCTTATCATCATCTGACCTCTGGTTCTTGGGACTTGAACTAGCAGCTTTCCTGCCAATCTTGGGTTCATCAGCCCCTGCAGCTACATGAGTAAGGAGAAACCTCCAGCCTGATGCCTGACCCACTGACTTGGGACTTGCCAGCCTCTACAATCATGTGAGTCATTTCCTTGAGATAAATCTCTCTCTCTCTCTCTCTATATATATATATGTATACACACTATATATATATATACATGCTTCACTGGTTTTGCTTCTCTAGAGAACCTAGCCTAAGACAGTAACTCCTTCCCCTTCAACAAATGCAAACATGTCTTACCAGAACTCTCACTCAGCCCCTCTGAGGCCACCATGGCACCCCAGCACTGCCCTAACTCCCAGCACATGGTCCTTTTGTGCATATCCTGGAAACCAAGTCTTGGAAGCAATTTACAGGGCAAAGAGATTTCTTTTCCCATTTGGTACCTTCCTCCAGTCACAAAGCTGCATCCCAAGTACAGGATTCTTCCTTAAGCAACCCTGGAAAACCTCCTCACACCTTCATTTTATCCAAGGACATCCTATAAAACCCTCTTGGACAATTCCACCTCTAAAAAGCATACAAGGTTTAGTCAGCTCTGGCATCAGATTTTAACTTCTCCAGAAGCTGTAAGAGAAAGGAATGGATCCTGGGAATCTCTCAGAAGATTTTATAAACAAGCACAGACAACTGTCCACCCAGGATGTTCTGGACGAAGAGGGCTGGACCCACTGAACAGTCGTCATGTTTGTGACCAGACATGACATGGAGGTTTTGTGTTGCTCCTGGGATTGGATGTCATTACATTCCAAGGACATGTTACTGGTTTATGGTGACTTCAGGTCAGAAGTATTTAGAGTTGAGTCTGTCCTAGGGAAGCTGAGCTGGATGGTTCCCCTCCATCACCGCAGGATCTCTGAAAAGTCCATTGCAAAAATCCCAGACCAGATTAGAAGGTTGTCTCCTAAAGTCCCTTCGGCAGAAACTGTTTTGTTCTTCAAAAAAAACCAAACCAAACAAAACGCTACTTTAAGCTGTACCAAGAGCCCTTGGGAAAAACAGGAAATGCACCTGACAGGACCAGGCAGTGAGTTCACCTTACCATCTCATGGAGAAACACGGCCTCGGCTCTGACCCTGGGGCTCCTGTGCAGAGCACTGGGCTCCACTTGGCCAGCCTCTCCACCTTCCTCCGCCATATTCTCTGGATCAAGCCGCTTCTCTAATTCACTTGAATGTTGATAGCCCAGGGAGATTTCCAAGGATTTCTGCTCCTGCAGTTGGATGTCTGGCTGCAGGGGAAGGCCTTTGCTGTATTCCACCGTTCCCACTGGTTCGGATACTGGCTTGGCATCCTCGGGAGCTGCCTTCTTAGGTGCAGAAGCTGCAATGAGGATGTGAGTTATCAGTTGAAGAAGAGACCATTTCCAGCACTGTTACTGTCATGGACCAGACCTGCTTTGCAAGGATGGAGGGAGGTCCCTTTCCTCTTAGCAATGTCCTGTCCTCAGATCCCAGAGTCGCAGACTCTCAGAGCTGGGAGGGATCTTGAAGATCATCTAGTCCAGTGGTGCTCAACCAGGAGCCCCACTCACCCCCGACGGGGTATTTGGCAATGTCTGAAGACATTTTTGGTTGTCACAACTGTGGTGGTGGAGAGGGGAGAAGGGCAGTGCTACAGGTGTCTAGTAGGTAGAGACCAGGGATGCTGCTATACATCCTACAATGCACAGGACAGCCCCCCACAACAAAGAATTATCTGGCCCAAAATGTCCATAGTTCCAAGGTTGAGAAGCCCTGCTCTAGCCCAGACTTTCACTTTACAGATAAGGAAAGAAACTGAGGTCATGAGAAGTCAAGCTTGGTGCCCAAGGTCATTCAGATCTGCTATTCACACCAAGCTGCAAAGGTATATGATGATTATGAGTGACAGCTTCCCATCTGACTCCTCCCAGGGGTTATCTGCACTTCAGCTTGGATACATTTAAGTAACTAAGCTCTGATTTAAACATCTAGCAAGATCCGGAAGAGGCAGGAGACCTCAAGTTTGGCCCCTGTTGCCTTACATAAAGGCGAGCCCTATTTCATTATATACAGCTGCTGTCCCAGCATGGGATAAAGACTTAAGTACCTATGACAGTGCCTGGCACATAGCAGACCCTCAATAACTGTTATTATTATTTACATTGGAATTAAAGAAACCTGAGTTCAAATTCTGGTTTCTCAATGAATCTTGTAACCTTGGTCCTATGGCATAGTTACACATGCTTTGCAGGGCTGTTGTGACAATTGAATAGATAATGGAGACAAAGCATCTAGTACTGTGTCTGACAAGCAGTAAAAGCTCAGAAAAGTTTGTTGGTTGAGAAAAACTCTGCTCAAAGCCACTGGTTACTCTGGTGCCTTCACTGCAAGGTTCTCAACCTGACACCAGCCTGAAACTCAGATTCTGTGACAGCATCCTGATGTGTGAGCTAATAATGCCTCAGAATTGTCAACGGTGCTATTTTCCTTTGCTCATCAGTTAGTAGGCTTGTTTTGTGAAATTTAATTTTATTTCTGAATATGTAAAACATTTACAGAGTTCAAAAGTTGAAACTATATAAAAAGGTTTCTCTGAGAAGTTTTACTTTCAGCCTGTTGTTTCCACACAACTTCTCACTGTCCCTTATAGATAACTATTTTTATTTATTTCTGGTTTATTCTTCCAGAGTTTATTGTACAAATATAAGCAGACACTTACACTGCATATATCTTTATTTCCCACCTTTATTACACAAAATATGGCATATGATATATACTGGTCTGTGCTTCACATTTTTTCACTAAACAGATCTTGAAATCCATGCCATATTAGTATATAGGGAGTGTTATGAATTAACTTGTGTCCCCTCAAAATATGTGTTGGAATCCTAACCCCTATACCGGTGGATATAATCCTGTTTGGAAATAGGGTTTTCTTTTTTATGTTAATTATATCAACCCTAGTATTAAAAAAGAAAAAGAAAAAAACCCATTGCCGTCAAGTTGATTCCGACTCAGACAGAGTAGAACTGCCCCATAGGGTTTCCAAAGAGTGGCTGGTGGATTTGAACTGCCAACATTTTGGTTAACAGCTATAGCTCTTAACCACTACACCACCAGTGCTCCACAGTGGTTAAGAGTTTGGCAGCTAATCAAAAGGTCAGTAGTTCGAGTCCACCAGCTGCTCCTTGGAAACCCTATGGGGTAGTTCTACTCTGTCCTACAAGGCCGCTATGAGTCGGAATTGACTTGACGGCAACGGGTTTTAACCCAAGTATGGTAGGTTCTAAGTCTAATCACTTCTGATTTCTAAGAAGAGCAGATTAGACACAGGTATGCATACATGGGCGAAGACAGACACCATGTGAAAGTTGTCTACAAGCCCAGGAAACAAGGAATGCCCAGGACTACCTACAAAGAAGCCGATGCAGCTGAGACTCTGATTTGGACTTTTAGCCTCCAGAACTGTGAGAAAACAAATTTCTGTTCTTTAAAGCCCCCCAATTGTAGTATTTGTGTTACAGCAGCACGGGGTAACTAAGGGAGACTGACCATTCTTTGGGGCGTGTCCTAGTGTGGGTTCCCTTCAAAGCAAAGCCCGAGACAAGGTCTTAGCAGCAGGAGGCAGGAGTGGGGAGGTGAGACAGGGATGGAGAAGAAGTCAATAAAGAGCATGTTGTTGAGCTGGTTACTGCTGGAGCAACCAGACCTCACTCCCTGGCAGCTCTCTGAGGGACCACGCAGAAGTGTCTCGCAACAATCCCTCCAAAGGATGGTAAGCTGAGTCATTTATCCATGATTCCCATCTCCTACTGGGGGAGGGCTGCCCCAGTTAATTTTCCATATTTCCAGGCTGTCCTAAACAAGGGCTGGGTGATATCCTCACTTCAGAAAAAGCCTCGAGGCGGAAAACCAGAAACACACTTGAGACAGGATGCTTCTGTGTGCACAGAAACTGTCTGCCACACATGCCCAGGGCAGTTGGGGAATGTGGGGTGGAGCCATAAAGAACGGGACTCCACAGGACTCAGTTGTGTGGATGTACCATAGTTAGCCAGTCTCCTAAAGATGGACATTTGGGTTTTTGCCAGTTTTCTGCTATTACAAATAATGCCATGATGTGCATATATCATTTTTGTGTTTGTGCAGGAATTTAAGATCAATTCTTGAAAATGAAAAGTCTGGGTAAAAAAGGTAAATGTATCAGTAATTTTTAAAGACATTTTTAGCTTCTACTAAGATCTCTGAGTTGAGAGGATGTGCCAATGTCTTTCTTTGTAGAGCTCAGAGTCTGCTGCACACTGACCGTGACCATTAATATGGACTTTGTTGTAGATTGAACTGTGTCCCCCAGAAATACATGTTGTAAATCCTAACTCCTATACCTGTGGTTATAATCCCATTTGGAAATGGGATTTCTTTGTTATGTTAATGAGGCAGTATGAGTGTAGGGTGTGTCTTAAATCAACCTTTTCTGAGATATACAAGAACAGATTAAATAAGCAAGCAAGCACAAACTGAGGGGAAGATATATGGTACATGATTGCAAAGATGTCACCTAGAGGACTAAGGTGTGCCTGACCCAAACCATGGTATTTTCAATCGCCTCATATGCATGAGAAAGCTGGACAGTGAATAAGGAAGACTAAGAATAATTGATGCCTTTGAATTATGATGTTGACAAAGAATACTGAATATACCATGGACTGCCAGAAGAACAAACAAATCTGTCTTGGAAGAAGTACAACCAGAATGCTTCTTGGAAGTGAGGATGGTGAGGCTTCAGTGACCAGTCCCTGGAGAAGGACATCATTCTTGGTAAAGTAGAGGGTCAGCAAAAGAGAGAAAGACCCTCAACGAGATGGATTGACACAGTGGCTGCGATGATGGGCTCAAGCATAACAATGACAGTGAGGATGGCACAGGACCAGGCAGTGTTTTGTTCTCTTGTACATAGGGTTGATATGAATCGGAACCAACTCTACTGGCACCTAACAGCAACAACACATGATTGCCAACAACCTTCCCCCAGAGCAGACCGAGAGAGAACCTTCCCCTAGAGCTGGCACCCCGAATTCAGATTTGTAGCCTACTAAACTGTGAGAAAATAAATCTCTGTTTGTTAGAGTCACTCACTTGTGGTATTTCTGTTATAGCAGCACTAGGTAACTAAGACAGAAGAGTGGAGAAAAGGGCCTGCGCTAAGGATGACCTTCTCATATCACTCCCTCTCCTGCTAAAAACCCTCAGTGGCTCCCTACTGCATCCATTATGACACTTAAATCCCCCCTTACTCTGGCCCAGCCACATCTCACCCTTCTCTCCTGCCACCCTCACCCTCTACATGACACTGAGCAGAAAAGCTGCCCTCTGACTGGTCTTACACCTGGCTTTGAGTCCTTTACTCTGGTCCTTCCTGTGATTCAAATCAAATCCATCCTTGGAGATCTAAACCTAGTAACACTGGCTCTTTGGCACCTTCCCAGAACAATCTCTCCTTCCAATCTCCTGCAGCACTTAATGTTACTACCTTCGCGCTGCCAAGTCATCAGGTTACCATTATCTCTTCACGGTGATGTGGCTTCCATCCCCAAGTAAGTTCCTCAGGATACAGGCAGTATCTGTTCCTAGAAATTACCTGGTAAGGGCCTATCAGTCCAATAAAGTTTTGTTGATTGACAGATTTGCCGGCTACTTCTAAGCTACAGAAGAAGCTCTAGAGCACTAAAGGGAAGTGCACAGTCAGGTTCCCAGCACAGGACATGTTATGCACCAAGTAGGTGCCAATTGCCCCCCAATAGCCATTTTCTTTGTCTTTATTTAGATAGAATCTATTCCACCCCCCAAGTGTGTCCAGCTAGCAACAACATTTCTCAGCCTCCCTTGAAGGTGGATGTGGCCATATGAATGAGTTCTGGCAGATGCGATGGAAGTGAAAGTGATATGTGCAACTTCTGGGCTACATCCTTAAATGGAAGCTGCTTGGCTTCCTCTTCTTATCCCCTTCCCATAGGAGGAACGTGCATGTGGTGGTGTTGAGCCAACGCAGACCACACAGACAAGGACAACACCCTTGGGCATGGCCGAAGGAACCTGGGACCCTGGATGATCTCCTGGAGCAGAGCCACCTACCTCTGGACTGTTATATAAGATAAAAATAAACTTTTACCTCGTTTGAGCCACCATGTTTTTGGTTCTCTTTGTTACAGCAGCTTAGCCTGTACTTTAACTAATAGAACCATGGGTTTTTGAAATAGGCTTGCTCCTAATAAAACAAGATAAAAATTTGGTTGGAGCAAAACAAAGTTTTGTAGGTAGAACCATATTTCAGATGCACTAAAATGTATCTATTTAGAAGAATTCTATTGTAAATTCTTTAGTAAAACAGTGAGGTAACTCCTAATATTTCCTTAGGGTAATTCTGGACTTTCACTTCTCAGGTTTCCTTAAAGCTATATGGTTAACTCTGATCTTCCTTTAAGAAGCATTTCTAAAAGAAGACACAGAAAGTGTTACTGGTAGCATTTAAATCAGCACATAAACTCTTCCTTCACTTTCAAAAGGATCAGGTTTGTGGCCTTTCCTCCTCCACCCCTTCCCCCCACGACTGAGTTTAGTAGAATATTCACTACAATCAGGTAAAAACCAGGTAGTCAATTATTTTTATTACATTGATTGAGCCTTTCATTTTTTTCACTTGGAGCAATCAATGATCTAATTGTCAGCACTTTAGTTAAAGTGTAATACTTACTTGATATATCTTACCCTTTGGGTCGCATTGGAATTTCACCTAGATTGGCCAAAAGAGGAGGAATTGGTTTGGCCAGAGTGACTAAAAATCCTAATTAGGTAACTTGGAAAATTGCCTTTAATGCTTTTTCTTTTACTCACCGCTACTGCATAAAAGATAGAAAAATAAAATACTATATTAAGGAAGGTCAAATTCTCCATTTGAAATAATTACGAAAGGAAATAAAAAACCTTAAGTTAACCCCATCAGAGAGAAGGGTGAGGAGACCTGTTGTTCCTGAACCTTTTGGCATCTTCCTTCAGCCCTTGGTCCTAGATCTAGGATCCTCAGCTGCCCAACTGCCCCACTCGTCACAGCCAGAGAGGTAGGCTGGAATCTCCACTGGTGTTTTCCCCAGGCCAATTTAATACAGACTGGGTGATGCAGTGGTTAAGTGCTCAGCTGCTAATGGAAAGGTTGGCAATTCAAACCCACCAGTCGCTCTGTGAGAGAAAGATGCAGCAATCTGCTTTCATTAAAGATTACAGCCTTAGAAACCCTATGGGGCAGTTCTACTCTGTCCTGTAGGGTTGCTATGTGTCGGAATCAACTCCACGCCACACAACAACATTCTTAATTACAGAGAAAAGGAAAAAAGATAACAGACTATCTCCCAAAGATCCCTTGGACCCAGGGAACCTCTCTTTTGGAAAGGATAGCCAATCTCACAAAAGCCTTTGAAACTTTTTTTTTCCCCCACTTCCTCCCCTATCCGTCATCCTACTCCACTCACATCAGCCCATGGGCCATTCTCCAAACAAGGCATTACTTGGTGCCTCTGAGTTTTTGCTCATCTTGTGACCCTGCAGGAAAGGGGAAGAGAAAAGGCCTAATGTGTATCGAACATCTGCTCTGAGCCAGACCCTGGGTAGGCATTCTGTGGACATCGTCCCATTCAGTTCTCACCATAGCCCTGGAGATAGGAGCCACCCCTGCTCTGCAGATAAGAAATGGAGTCAGAGATATCAGTCAGCTGCCCACCTGCACACTGTCCGGATCTGAATCAAGTCGTTTGGGGTCCAGAACATACACACTTTCCACAATATTCTGCTGCCTCTCAGCCCAGAATGCCCTTCTCCCATCTTCTCTGCATGGAGAAATCATACTCATTTATCAAGGCCCAGCACAAACATCACCTCTTCTGAGAGGTCTTCCTGGAATCCTCCTGAGGACTGCCTCTCACTGACACTCTTGCAGTCCTTTTTGAATGCCCCTTTCGTGATCCTTCAGGCAACTAAATCTCTCATTTCAAAAAGCCCCAGGAGCCTGTTACACTACTTCCACAGGCTGACTCTGTGCTGTATTTCAGTTCATTTATTGAGCTCGTTGGGGGAAGGGATCATGTCTTAACAATCTCTGTAATCCCACAGCCCTCACTGGAGGGTCTTGCCCATAGCAAACCTGTGAGGGAGCATGGTGATGTTTGCTCGATCTGATTGGGGGGCAGGGGCGGTGGGGAGGCAAAACATCAGAATCTTGTTTTAAGTCTAGATTCAAATCCTGGTTTTTCCCACTTCCTTCCTATGAGTCATTGGCCAGGTTACTTACTCCTCTCTAAGCAAATGAGGATAATACTAACTACCTACACTTCATGGTTTGTTGTGAGGAGAAATGAGATAAGACATATAGAACACTTAAGACCGAGACTGACAACATAATACGTGCTACTTAGTTAATATTAACTGAAAAATATATTGAAATCACAATAAGCATTTGTTACTTTACCTGTCAGCCATCCTTTCCTTGGGGTTCCCCTTCCTTGCATTCCACGTGGCTCCTCCTAACTCTGGAGATGGTCCAGAGATTTAAGCCGGGCCAATCTTAGTACCCTACTAGTTCGGCAACATAGATTGGTCCAAGGTTGGGCATGTGACCGAAGCAGGCCCAATCAGAGTCCTCCTTGCATCTGCCGTAAGGGAACTGGGAGGAAGATGCTCTTTCTCACTGCTGGGTTTGCTAGGCTAACGCTGTGGTCAGCGGTGTTGCCTGCAGATATGCAGCAGCAACCAGGGATGAATGAACGGAGAGAGACTGAGTCTGGAAGAGTTGAGTCTACAATACCAGCTTGGTAGCCCTGCTACCTTCTCCCTAGACGAGTGACTAATATAATGATAGATAACATTTATTGAGCCCTTACTATGCATTAGACACTGTTCTGAGAGCTTTACACGTATTCACTAATTTAACACGATTAACATCCTAATTTACATTTACAGATTAAAAAACTGAGGCACAGAATCATCCTGTTAACTGGCAGAAGATCATACAGCAAAATGGCTAATCCTGGATTTGTACCCAGGCAATCTGGTTCCAGAGCCCACAGCCTAACCACTTCACTACACTGCCTTGCAAACTCTGTTTAAACACGTTGAGGTCTGGTTTTCATCTCTGCAATGGAGACAGACCCTCCTTCCCCACTTTACCTGTAGAAGCCTCAGCTCCCAGCAGCTTCTCCTCTTCAGGCCAACCTCCACTCTCTGACCCCTGGAAAGAAAACTCTTCCAGGCTGGAAAGAGACTGCAGCTCCTTGGGGGGTGTTCTGCACGGGGTGCTGTTGGTGCTGATGACAGCTGACACGCGGAGCGGCACGGACACCGCAAAGGGCTCGGAGATGTTCAAGGCCTTGCGCTGGTGGCGGGGCGAGGGCTCCATCTGGAAGAGGCTGCTGGTGAAGACGGATTTGCTGGGGCCGTCGCTGGAGGTGTAGAACATCCCCAGCATCTTCGGGGCTGTCTGCTCGCTCTCGGGGTCCTCCATGGGCCGGAACACCTTCAGCTGCTCGGGCGGGGGCCGGGCCTGAGCGCCCTGCAGGGGGCTCCGGTCGCCGCTCACATCAAAGCCCCCCTCAGCCCTGGCTGGCATCCCCTCCTGGCCCCACTCGCCCTCCTGCTTGCTGAGATCACATGAGCTGCCAGTGCTGGTCGAGTGCATTTTCGTCGCCGGAATGAAAAATCCACCGGTGGTAACTGTTCGATTGAAAGTTCCTTTGGTTTCTTTCCCTAGTGAGGAAGAACAAGGACACAGTCAGCAGCCTGGGCGCACACACAGCTGCACAGCCTCATAAGGGCAGGCACGCGGCGTTTGACTACTGGGAAGGCGTAGCGATCTAACGAGGGTACTGCCATCGCTGCTGCTGTTTTAAGTTAACATCCACTACCACTCATGGCGGCCCCCGTGTGCAGAGCAGAAGTGCTCCTTAGGGTTTTGAAGGCTGGGTCCTTCCGGAAGCAGATTGCCAGGCCTGTCTTCTGAGGAGCTTCTGGGTTGGTTTGAACCGCCAACCTTTCGGCTGGTGGCCGAGCATTTAACAATTTGCATCACCCAGAGACTCTGTTAACAAGGGGACAGTCATTCTAGTAAAGGCAGATACATAACATTCAGCTGACAAGAGACGAAGCGTTTTCTCATGGGCATGGTGCCGTGACAGGACCGTTTGCTGTTGTACCAGATGGGACCAGCTTTAAACTTTGCTGGTAGAGCAGTTTCCTAAAGAAATTGCTGCTAGGATTGCTCAGCAGAGCTTGTCATTTGCCAAGCACTAAATGTAGATCATAAAATAGTAGAGAGACAGACGAGAGATTTTGATGTTTGCTCGAACTGATTGGGGGGCAGGCGCGGTGGGGAGGCAAAACATCAGAATCTTGTTTTAAGTCTTTTCTGACAGATGGACCCAGATAGGGGTTTGATTTCTCAGCGAGGACACAAATGCCATTCTCAGCTAGACCTTTCCCCCTTTCCAGGCTGTTGATTCAGAGGATGAGAGACCGGAAGTGGGAATTAACTACATGTTAGACAGCCTTGCTGTGAGGAGGCACTCTCAGCTGACTTAGAAGTGAGGGCAAAGAAGAAAAAGTCTTCTGGGAAATAAAGAAGCTGGGAGAAGACAAGTGAGTTGCCAGGAATCTGGAAAATAATTTTCCACTAAGTAGTAAGAGGAGTACTAAGTATTACGCTGGGCGTTTTATGTAGCATTAGGTTTAACTCTTACACCCACCCTATAAGTAAGTGTAATGATCTCCTTTAACGCATGAAGAAACTGAGGCTCCGAGGGATTAGATGACCTGCCCAACACCCACAGAAATGGTGAGCTAGGTGTTGAAGTATCAAATCTTGAAAATCTGGGCAAGGAGTTTTGAAACCCAAGCAAATGGATAAAAATGCTAAAAGTATCAGATCAGCTTAAAAAAAGACTTCACTGATTATTTTACAAATTTGTAATTATTTATTTAAGTTGCTTTAAAGATTTTCTGTATTATTTCAGGCTGCTTCATTTATTAAAGAGAAAAATGTCCTGTATTACAGGGGTTGGAAAGTGGTGGAATAACTGTGGGCGAGTTTCAAGAGTCTGTCAGGGAAGGCCTTTGCCTTATAGCTTGTAATGGTACTTGTTGGTTGCTTAACAAAAATAGAAGTGACAGGTACAGGCAAGTCATCTCTTAAGGCTAGACCTGTGAGAACACAGTGTAGTGGGGTGCCGTTTTGGTGATCGGTGTCACCTCGCATGCAACTGTACATACATTTTACTCCAGCAAACGATGTCATAGTCGGCACTTGCAAATTACCTGCCGCACAGCTGGTGCTGAATCTGTGTTTACTGATGAATGAATGAATGAATCTACCAACCCAAATCATGACTTGACAAGCATTATGAAGCTAATGCCTATGGAAACATCCAAATTCATTTCACATAAGCATCTAGGCACAGACACAAAACCATGAGGTATAAACCAACGCTTTGGTTCTTCCTTTATGCCCGAAGAGGAAGGCTCGTCTGCCCTAGTTTTCAGGTGTTGACCCTTTACCTGGGTCAGGTTTGAATGCAAAGTATACCTGTTCTCCAGTTATGGCCAGCTGAGAGGAAACCTCTTTTAGGACTATCCCTGAGGTAGAGCAAAGGGGTTATGCAAGGGCCCCGTGAACCCCTTGAGTTCAGAAAGGGATAGGGAGGGATTTGGGACTGGTTGATTGTACATGATTGTGACTAGGGATGAGCAGGCACAGCAGCTTAGAAAGGCAAGTCTGTGTACGAGCTTCCATCCCCCAGCCAGTTCAGAAACTATCTGTAAAATCTCACCTTCCACGGGCACTGAGCACAGCGAGTCCATGCTTTTCGCTGGTCGAATAGTAGCCTTCTCCACTAAAGGCAAAAGAAAAACCATCACTGCTGAGTGCGTATGAAGAGGAAGTATTCAGAATACGAGGTCAGGCTGTAAGTATGCATGAGAAATCTTTTTTAGGGAAGTTTTTTAAATATTTATAATTTGTCCCCTTGGAAAACATTTTCCCACCCCATTCTAGATGTTCCTATATTCTTAATGGGACTATCCTTATAAAAACAGAGCATTTGTAGATCAACGTTTTATTAACATTTTACAGATAAAGGTAAATAGCAGTTTTGTCAAATGGCTGTAGGCCAACGCAGAGTCCTGAGCGCAGTTTTACTGGACAAAAAGCATTCCACAATGACTCTATGCGGGGCATCCGTGGGGCTCCAGGCAGACCCTCTGTCAGGGTAGACAGCAGGATTCTTGGCTGAGGGCCACACCTCTCAGCCCCCAGGAATTTGTTACAATAGGTGAGAGGGCCCAGGGAAGCGGGGCTGCCTTTCTCTGCAGGTGCAGCTCTGCTCCTTAAAATCTGCAGACGGGTTGCTCCCCCAATGATCTCACCCATCGGCCTCACCCTGGAGCAGATCCCAGCCAACCCTTCACTGAGCACCTGCCACGTGCCTGCTGTATGCTATGCATATTTGTAGCTTAGGAGGTTTTTGGAAGGGTGTGAGGTTTGAATAAGTGAAAATGTGTTATCCCAGGCATGGTGTTAAATACTTTCATGGATAGCATTTCTCGTCAGGTGGCTGAAGTGGCTGGAAGGTGGTTCCTCCTGGGTCAAGCTTGCCAGGAGCGGGAAGAGGGCAGTCTGGAGGCTGACGAGGAGCCCAGGCCTAGTAGCCTTTAAGGCCACTCTGGATTCAGACAGATCTGGGTTTGAATTCCAACTCTGCCACCTGGGGCTGTGTGACCTCAGATGAGCAGCTTAATCTCAATAAGCTTCTGTTTTCTCATGTGCATGTAAGGAAAAAATAGGGCTGCTGTGAGAGTTAAAAGAGTGAGGTATATAAAGTGACTAGGTTGTACCAGCCTGGAATAGAGTAAGTGCTCAGTAAAAAGTAACTATTGTGTATCGTTGTTGTTGTTATTCAGGATCAGCAAGGGCTCAGCAACAAAGGGGAACAGAGGCTATGGTTCTACAAGAAGCAGGCAGGGTCCGCCCTAACCCAAAGTGGACAGTAACTCACAGCTGTTTTATCCCTCTTTTAAAAATCCAGACCAGCTGTTGTCAAGTCAACTCTGACTCGTGGCAATCCCATGTGTATCAGAGTAGGACTGGGCTCCATAGGGTTTTCAATGGCTGTTATCTTTCAGAAGCAGATTGCCAGGCCTTTCTTCTGAGGTACCTCTAGGTGGGTTTGAACTGCCAGTTTTTCAGTTTGTAGGTGAACTCCCTTTTTTCCTCCTTGCCTCAAACCCTGTTCCTTCTGGGAGGCTCTGAATTAGCACCCTGGCCTCCCAGCTTTGGGCTTGTGCCTGACCAGGGATTTGTGGTGGGAGGACACAGCCTCTTCACTCAAACTTGTGGAGGTGGCAGAGACTGCCTGCAAACCTCCTTCCTTCCACTAACGCAGAGTTCTTATCCTTTGAAGGTCTGCTATTTTCACAAGTTTACAAACTGATTTATTATCCTAGAACAACCTGGCTGGCATCCCTTTATTCATCCACGCATTCTGACACAGCTTTTGGCCTTTGTGTTTCTGGGAACTGCATTTATGAACTTCCCCCGGTTTTCACATGTCTGCCTTGAGGGGCAGTGACCAGGTGACCCAGTGAGTCACGGAGGCTGGGCAGCAGTTCTGTCTTTGGGAACATCGGTGTTCACCTTTGGTGTCAGACCCCCTTTCTGACGCTGCAGCGCCTTGTGGGCTGGATGACCACAGCAGCACAGCAGGGCTATGGCTTCAGGGGACAGTCCCCAAGGGCTCCCCGGCCCCTTTCCTGGGTAGTAACTCAGGGCCTCTTGGCCCATGACTATGTCTAGATTATATTTTTCTGTCTGGGACCTTGACTTGGCCTCATAGAGCTGCATCCACCAGCTTCTTGCTAGCCTCTGGGTCCTTGAGTCCCCCTCTTCACTGATCCCTATGGCTTTGGAATGTCTCTGCTCAGAAGAATTCCTTGTGGAGAGTTTCCGGAACTCTTCTGTTTGATAATATTAAAAAAGTTTAAACTGAATCAATTCAAATACCAGTCCCTGGGAGATTCCAAAGTTTATACATCTTCATTCAGCTGAGTCCCATTTTTCTTACGCTTTATTTCTTATCTCTGTTCAATTTTCTAAATATGGCTAAATGCCCCTTCATCCTCCTCCTCCCACAAGAAACCCAATACCATTTATGGTGAATTAATTTGTAAAACACCCTTACTTATGGAGTTTGTTTAAGGATTTTAAAAAATTGTGTAAGCACATTAACTCACTGATTCTCTTTTTTCATATGCATGCTTTGATAAATGGCGATCCCACTTACAGAGCCTGCTCTGCCTTGCCCTAGGTGGATTGTGTTACAGGGTTCCAGGCCTACCATCACCTACAGATTCCACTAGCGTTATGACCACAAGGCCCACTGGTCTTTAGTTCCAGAGTTCCAGCAACACTCTTCTGGCAAAAGATGGCTGCCTGGAAAACAGTCAAGGCCACAGGAAACCACTTGTATTGACACTGATGATTTTATGTTTTCACCCTTGCATCCTATCAAATTTCTATTGGTTTGGCGATCTATATCTGATTAGTTTGTTCATCCGAAATCCAAACCCACTGCCGTTGAATCGATTCCTACTCATAGTGACCCTAAAGGTAGAACTGCCCCATAGGGTTTCCAAGGCTGTAAATTTTTACAGAAGCAGACTGCCCCATCTTTCTCCCACGGAGCCACAGGTGGGTTTGAACTGCTGACCTTTTCGCTAGCAGCCGAGTGCTTTAACCACAGTGCCACCAGGGCTCCTAGTTTGTTCATAAGACCTTAGAATCTGGCTGCATATCAGAATCACCTGGGGCACTTTTAAAAAACTACGGATACTCAGACCTCCTGAGGCAACACTGGGTGGGGGTGAGCCGTCCTGTGGGCGATCCTGAGGGGAGGCTGTGCAGAGAACCTCTGGCCCAGAACGCCCTGTGTGTCCTGTGAGTTCACCACGGTTTGATCCGGCACCTTGGACTTCCTCCTTTTGAAAACCCTACGGGGGTGGGAATCTTCCTACGTCAAGATCAAGGCAAACCGTTTATTTCATTTTTGTTCATTTGTTTTGTTGATTTTCACCACTTGGTGAACCTCTTGCATCATGGTATCACTGATTCTGTAACTGGAATTCCCTCTCTGATGTGCTTTAAGCAAACCTCTTATAGTTAGATCAGGAGTTTCTTGCCAGGAACTCGATCCCTCAGATTCTCCTTAGAGACCCCTCCTTCCCGATTTGTATCTAATCTGCCCTGCCTGGGGCAATCTGCCCTCTTCACGGGGGCTGTCCTTTCATTTTGTGAAGTATATTCTTCCCTATCTGGGTAGATGCCTGCCCAGAACCCATTTCTCTTCTCCCTTCTCAGAGCCTGCTGCTCCCTGGGTGCTTCCGACTGGGGATCCCATTCCTCACGCCACAGTGACTGGTTCAGGAACCCAGGCCTAAGCCAAGGCATTCTTTCAGTCGTCGGAATTGATCCATGTGACTCAGTGCAGGTTGTTGAGATGTGAGGAGAGTTTGATGGGGCCTTTTGGGAAAGAAGGGTTTCTGTTCTTAGGCGCAAGCCATGAGAAATGACGCTGTTTCTCCCTGTGTACAGGGTGATAATTCAAAGGTAAAGCCTAGCACTATTACGGCTATTCGGCCATAGCAAGGGGAGCCAGTCTAGGGATGAAGGTGGCCCACACAGAGGGTACCAGAAGAAAAAAAAAACCAAACCAAACCCGTTGCTGTCAATTCTGAGTCATAGCAACCCTACAGGACAGAGTAGAACTGCCCCATAGAGTTTTCAACGAGCGGCTGGTGGATTCAAACTGCAGAGAGAGTACAGCTGAGGGAAACTGAGAATGGCGACAGAGGTACTGGGTCAAACCACTCCTGAAGCCTGTGCTACACCTGGATGTCCAATTACAGAAGCCAATAAATGCCCTCATTGTATAGGCCAGTTGAGTTGGATTTGATATTATTTACAGCCTAAATCATTGTAACTGCAATACCCTGTAGCATCCCTCATTACTCCTACAAGCAAATGTGAATATTTCTAGTATCTGTGCTTTCTGAGTCTTTGCATACAATTATCACCAGGTTCAAGGAAAATATTTAAAAATATTATCTCTCATTTCTCCTACAGGCATTAACTTTTTGTCCCCCAAAGTCTTTATTGTTGAAAATTTCAAATATTCAAAAAAGTTGAAGACTTCTAAACCTACCATCTAGTATCAACAATTGTCAACATTTTGCTATACATTTGCTTTGTTTATCTATTTCTATATCTGTATACCTACTGACATCATGTTGAACCATTTGAAAGTGAGTTTCAGTATTTTAACTTTTCACCCTTCACTCTTGAACTTTAGCATGTGTCTCCTAGGAATCACTAGCACCCTGAGAAAATTTTCAATTCCTTAATACCATCTAATAGTCAGTCTATATCCATAAATTCTCTATTTGTTCCCAAAATTGTATTTTGAAGATATTTTTTTTTTTTCAAACCAAGATTCAATCAAGGCTTGCCCATTGCATTTGGACATTTACCTTTTACAACTCATTTTTTATAACTACTGCCTCCATTTTATCATACTTTCAATCTAGGACACTAAAGAACATTGATATAGATTTTCTTTGGTCTTCTCTTTCCTAACCCAATGTCCTGCTGGATTGGTTATATTCCCCATTACATGGTGGTTCCCTCAATTCCTTCCTGCATCAATTTCTATTCATTAGTCAGAAATAAGTCCCACAGTACAGCATCCCTATTTAAAAATCATGACCCTGGGAGAAAGGGACAGCTCTTCCTTACAGTAGAATTACAATTAATAAATGGAGAATGAATAATGGAAATAGGAAATCACCATTTGGCCAACACCACAGTAATAACTGTTGCAGGCAAGAACCACTAATGTATGCTAAGATACACCTACTCCCCACTTATCGACTATCTTGTTATCCAACATTTTGCATTCATGACAATGGTAAAAGATCTACTGTCTGACTATTTTGCACATTAATGACGTATGTCTGGCAGTAACGAACACCAAGGTGCAAGGTGAAGAGTAATGCTGGCTATTTTGGTTAAGGTTATGTGTCAGCTTGGCTGGGCCATGATTCTCAGTGGTTTGGCAGTTATGTAATGATATAATTTGGCAGTTATGTAATGATGTAGTCATCCTGCATTTTGTGATCTGATGTGGTCATCCTCCATTTTGGCATAACACCAATTTTTGCATAACGACCTGGTCTTTGGAACCTAAACGTGTCAATGAGTGAGGAGTGGGTATACATGGACAAAAGTGTGATGAGAAACAAAATATTTGCATGGTCTCAAAATATCTCCCATGAGATATTTATTAATTGCAAAGGAAAAAAATAATAACTTTACAGTGGCAAAACCTGTAGACACCACTTTCACCAAGTGATCAAAATTAGTATCATCAGTAATAAAATATTGACATCATGTACCTCCTGATATGAGGCCCTGGGAAGAGCACATCACTTCTGTGGTATTGCTGCAAACATTCATATCCTCATTCTAATCAGGAGAAAATATCAGACAAACCCAAACTGAGGATATTCTACAAAATAACTGGTCAGTACTCTTCAAAAATGTCAAGGTCATAAAGAAAAAGAAAAATTGAGGAACTGTCTAGATTGGAGAAAATTAAGGAGACATGATGACTAAATGTCATGTGGGTTTCTGAACTGGATCCTGGACCAGAAAAGGACATTAGTGGACAATTGGTGAGATATGAATAAGATCTATAAATTAGTTAATAGTATTATATCAATATTAATTTTCCAGCTTTGATAATTGTACTACAGTTATGTAAGATGATAACATTAGGAGAAGCTGTGTGAAGGGTATACGGGTTCTCTGTGTACTACTTTTGTCACTTTTTTGTAAGTCTAAAATTATTATTATTTTAAAAAAAAAAAAAACCCTCTAATTAATTTATAAGTTTCTCTTTCAAGGCCGAGTTTGACTTGATCAAACCAATGACTTAGGAAGCAGAGCTAGTTGGGGTGGAGAGGCGGGGAAGAAACCCATCATAAAATATAACTGTTATTAATTCTTACCTGAGAGCCTCTGTCCTCTCACAAATACACTCCCATTTCTACTCAGCTTTGACTTGGAGTCTGATCCAGAACGTCCCAGGTTAAATATTGACTTCCACTTCTTTGATTTACTGGAGAGCTTTCTTCTAAAGAAGCCAAGCCATTAGGGATTAGTTTGGTAACTAGTAATTTCAGTGGTACTTTTAAATTGAGAAAGAATATTCTAATCATACTCTTAGTTATGAAAGGCTCTGACGTTTCAGGAAATTCTTCTCAAAAATCCAAGTTGAACCTGACTTTCACCCTGTCTGGGATGCCCTAGATAACAGGCTAGGCTTTCATAAATTAGACCAAGGGCCATATTCTCCCAGGCAAGGGACAGAGGCATGCTGTTAGAGAAGGTGAGGGGTGGTGGGGGCAGGGCAGACAGAGCCAGGGATTGGTGGGAGACTCAAAGGTCACAACTTCCTTGGAGGGAATTCTGGTAAACACGTGAGTCCTGAGTTTTCAAAGATGCCTATTATCTATCTATTTATTTTTATTTTATTTTTTTACAGGAGTAACCACTAAAGACCATAGACCACAGTCCTGTTCTGCTCCCTGAACTGTGGCCACCCTGCTGGGACATCCACAGGTGAGGAAAGGGCTAGTGAAGTCTTTCAGGGAATGAAGAAGTGTTGGATGAGAAAGCAGATCTGGAAAAGAAGTTTGACTTTTTTCTACTTTTGATGGGCCCCATGAGAGGCGAAGAGAGGCAGGTGGGGATAGGGAGAGTTGTCATCTGCTGAGCATGATCAAAGCCACTGCAGAGAAGTGCAGAGGTTAGTGCGTCTGGCTTTGCCTCCATTTCCCTGGTGCATCACAGGCAGACAGCTTCAGTAAGAGGCGGGGAACTAGGTGTTAAGCCCAGCTGAGAGGGTGCAGGAGACCCTGGCACCACCAGGGATCACCGCAGAGGCCTTGCTCTGCTCTGGCTTGGCCCAGCCTTGGGACTTCATGAAGTTCCAGGATGAAACCCTGCAACCTGTGGGTTCCACAGAGGGCGTTTTCTCTGCAGGGCTCAAGAAGCTTCCATAGAACATCCAGGTCTCAAGCCTAGCATATTTTTATGATCAATCAGAGATCTGCAGTGCTGGGTCATTTCTTTTGGACCTGGCCTGGTTTATTTCACACACTGGGCCTTGGAGTGTATTTTACCAAGTGGCCTACCTTTGGCTGTGGTACACCCTGGTGCGGTTGAAGGCACAGAGAAAATGTACTTGGTGGTTCTTCTGAGAGTCTCTTCTCCCTGATCCCTGGGTAGAAGTTTTATTTGCCAAGGATTTAGGGGGAAGAGCAGTGGGACTCAGTCATGAGAGTACATGACTCATGCATACAGGAGATGGAGGATCCTCGCCAGGTGTCTTCCAGGTGAACCATTCCCATTGCATGCAGTGTGACGGGTACCTCCCACAGCTGTGCAACAGGGCAGCCCTCTTCCTGCCCTCCTCAAAAGCAAACAGCCCCGCCATCTTGGGGAGGACTCCGACAAGAGGTCAGAGGTGCCTGTTTTCATAATTCTTGTCAGTGATTAAACAGCAGAGATAACGTTCTCCAGATTGCCTTTCAGCTCCTTCACCTACTGTCTGCCTAGAATTAAGGTTCCTGCTTCAATGGCTGTCTTCTTTTATATGGGGGTGCGAGTGGGGGACAGGTGGAGACCAGAGTTGCAGTGCAGGAAGTAAGAGGGAGAAATGAGGAAAGAAAATATCCTACAAGTGAAAACGAAGTTGGCTTTGTTTTTAGAGGGGAGGGAGGCCTCTGCCAGGTTTGAAAGGAGGAAAGGAGGCCAGGAATGCGTGCCCGCAAGTACTGCCTGCCCACAGCTCTCAGCCTAGAGTGGTGCTATTTGTCAGCTTGTCCTCTGTCAAGAGATTCATCTCTACACCTTTCATTATGTCACATGAGGGCGGGGGCGTAGAGGTCATGTTTTTTTTTTTAGTAAACTTCCTTTTGAAAACTTCAAGACTGTTTTGTCTAAACTAAGGAGTAAGGGATTTTGGTCATGACTCCTGACCTCTGTCACAGTCACCCCCATGGTGGTGCTAGAGATCTCTGGTGGGAGATAAGGGGTCTTGATAACTTTGGGGACAGTGAGTGAAGGCATCGATCGCTGATGACAGTGTTGTGGAGACAACTCCCATCTCTTTGGAATGTTTCCTTACTCCCAACCCAGACCACACTCCCCAACCCATGCTGCCATCATGGCCCCGAGACTATACGTCTCCTCTTCTGTTCCCCTCCACCCAAGCATTTCTGGAATTGGAAAGGACGCCACGCACTTGCTGTCTGGCAACTCAAGGACGGTGTGGAAGAGGGTGCCCATAGGAGGGACAATCTCAGGCAGGCTATTCTCCCGCCTTTCCTTCCGAGCAGGATGGTTGGTAGCCAGGCTCCGGGCCTGAGCTTCCTCCAGGCTCACCAACTTCATGGGCAGGGAGAGGGCTGGCAAGGTCAGGCTTTTCATGATGGGCCGGTTTTCTGTAAAATAAGAGAGAAGAGCTCAGTCCTGGGAGGAGATCTGTACACCAGGCCCTGCCAGACTCCGTCTGTGGCTCCTCCCTTCCTGACCTCCTGACGGTGCTGAGTGCCACCCTTGGCTTCTCTTGGCGCCTGGTTAGGCCTGGGTTGAAGGCTGCACAGGAAATTGACAACTCTCCTGGCCAGACTAGCCAGAGGGCAAAAGGGGCTCCAGGAAGTAACCTCCACTTCCTATACTTTTCATAGTCAGACCCTCCATTCATTTGTACAACAAACATTTATTGAACACTTACTGTCAGCCAGAGTAAAAGCAGTGGTCTAGAAACTCTACCCAGTGCTTTGGCCAGATGAGAATGTATGCCCAGCCCCAGAGGTAGCCTCATTCAGCCAGGATAAGGCACAGCTGGAGCCTTTGCTTCCCCTAGATCACCCAGGCTTATTTCTCTGTAGTAAAAAGGCATTTTACAGCCTACACCATCCCCTAAAACTCACTATCCAGTCATCTTCCAGTGTGTCAAGCCAACCCTCTCTTACTCTATGGTAATTTTTTAGGAATAGAGGTTATGCTCACAGATCAGTGATGTCCAGAGTTGTCTCTTCTCCAAGTCAGTGCTATTCAACTGGGAACGGTTTTGCATCCTCCTCCCCAGGGGACATGTGGCACTATCTGGGCACATTTTTGGTTGTCACAACTGGTAAGGGAGGTGCTACAGGCATCTAGTAGGTAAAGGCCAGGGATGCTACTAATGCACAGGGCAACGCCCCCCTGCCCCCTGCCAATGTCAGTAGTGCTGAGGTTGGGAAACCCTGACTGAAGTAAAAAAGAAAGGATCTAAGTTTGCCTGTATTTAGTCTTTGGTGACTTGGCCAGTTTTCTGTGACTTAGGAAGGCTCTAGGATAATGTGGACAAAGCTGGACCAAGAAATCCCTTTTTATATCAGTCTTTTATTTTTAGAAAGCAATGATGGCACTATTTCTCTCTTTGCAGAACATGACCCTTTCTGAATGGAGGGATATAAAGCCACTGACAAAGGGCCTCAGAGAAAACGGAGACAGTCTATGATACTGGGGCATTTCTTGGGAGGAGAAGCATAACAGTTGTTCAGCAGGACTGCAGTTAAATATACAGGCAGTCTCCAGACTATAGACGAGTTCCATTCCTAAGTCTGTCTTTAAGTCGAATTTGTTTCATAAGTTGGAACAGTTAGGCATGGTTCATATCTAACGTCAGTTAGTCAAATGTTTGTCTTAGTATATAGTGTACCTTTACATGCATAAAAACATTAAAGAAACACTTTCAGATATACTAAAACATCTCTAACATAATAATACAGAAATAATAATAATGATTTTAATTATTATTATTTTATTGTTGTAGTTTAGATGAAGTTTACATTTCAAGTTACTCTCCCATACAAAAATTTACACACACATTGTTATGTGACCCTATTGCTCTCCTCACACTGTGACAGCACACTTCTCCTTTCTACCCCCGATTCCCTGTGTCCATTCAACCAGCACCTAACCCTCTCTGCCTTCTCATCTCACCTCCGGACAGAAGCTGCCCGTTTAGTCTCTTGTATCTACTTGAGCCAAGAGGCACATTCCTCATGAGTATCACTCTATGTCCCGCAGTCCAGTCCAATCCCTGTCTGAAGAGTTGGCCTCAGAAATTGTTTTAATTCTGGGCTGATAGAAAGTCCGGGAGCCATGCTTTCCAGGGTTCCTCCAGTCTCAGTCAGACCATTAAGTCTGGTCTTCTTACTAGAATTCGAGTTCTGCACCCCACCTTTCTTCTGCTCCATCAGGGACTCTCTGTTGTGTTCCCTGTCAGGGTGGTCATTGGTGGTAGCC